CCTGCGCGACGTTCGCCTCCGTCTCGCTGCGCGGGGGCAGCGGGGACAGCGGGAACGGGTCTGTGTGGCCGAACGCGTCTGCGGTTCCGCGTCGTTGCGCGTCGTTCGAGGTCTCCGTCCCGTCGTCGCGGCCAGATCCAGCTTGGGCTCCAACTGTGATATCCATTGGCCAGGGGCTCCTTCAGCATCCGACCGCTGACCTCCAGGAGCAAGGCCTCGAAAGCCAGCGGGCCGAACCTGAGCTGGAACAACGGTCTGCCCGCCTGCATGGACTTCGAACGCCCGCTCTGGCTTGTGATGGCGGCTGTGGATCGCGCCCAGCGAAGTCGACTGGAGGCTCGGAATCTGGGGGTCCAAAGCCGCGCGGCTATCATTCTTCACTGTGCCCACGGCTTTGCTGATCATCTCGGTGGCCGTGGACTCGTGCTGAGCCTGCCGCTGGCGGAGAGCGAGCTCCGCCGCGTGGTGGAGCGGCAACCTCGGCGCAATCTTCTGCTCGACGCGCGCTGAGAGGACCCGGGCAAGCCTCTCCAGGTTCTTTTCAATCGATTCAATGGCCATTCCATGACCACGAGGAGAAGGAGGAGGAGGAGGAGGAGGAGGAGGAGGAGGAGGAGGAGGAGGAGGAGGAGGAGGAGCAGGTCTTCTAGGTTCACGGGGAGAGCCAGGGGCATTTCGCGAGCCCGGCGCCGCCACCGTGGCGGCGACGGTGGAAGCTGGGGCACCATTAGGGCCATCGCAGAGGTCAGCGTCGAAAAGAACGGGCCATGCACCATAGCATCTTCATTTTTTTTTTTACCCAGGCGAGCGGTCGGGGATGGGGCGGAAATTCGGGCAGTTATAACGATACGAATTCACACGAAAATGTATCGGCGCTGCGCCGGGAGCAGGGCGAGACGAGGGGAGGAGGAGAGGGAAAAACAAGACTACGAACAAGCAGCACTGCCACCACGGGAGGTCCAACACCCGCTGGGAGCGCAGCAGCTACAATAGCATCTTCACTATGCAGGCATTGGGGGGAATTCGACTGCATGGGATTCAATTCGCCGTGCGGCATGCGCGGCATGTAAGGGATCGCGCCGAAATTAATCACGTTGTGGTGCACCAGCGTAACATTGCGGTGGTCAGCGCCAGAATCTTCAGGAAACGCAGTATCCGCCAAACGAATCAGAACAGGAGGCTGGTGCAGGAAGGCGTGCCGCTGCAGGACGACCGGCCTGTCGATGGGGTCCCAGAATTCCTCGGTTGTGCTCGATACCGATGGCGCCCGGCGTCGCTGGCGACGGCGCCAGACAGCGAAAACTCCCAAGAACCTGTTGCGCTTGGCGTAGTTGGCCAGTGCGTTCAGAAGACGAGTGCCACGACGAACTTGCGAAGATACATACACCTCCCCTGAATGCCGAAATCTCTGCTCCAGTCGACGGAAATTCCTGGTTGCAGGTGGGGTCGATGAGTAAATGACTGGTGATCTGAGCTGTGACCACGATGCACCGCACCAGCAGCTGTGTAATCCCAGCAACACCGCGTACAAACCAAGGCCAAGCCCAACGCAAAATAAATCAAGATCTCCCAGTGCGACCAAACACCATCTGTAAAATGAGCAGGCCTCCGCATGAGGACCAGATTGGTCGATTAGTTCAACCCTGTCACCGCTACGACGAACGTGCCGACAACCATTACGAGAAGGAAGATGAGCATGGGCAGGGGCAGCATCTGGAGCTGCCGCGGAGGCCACGAGCCTAGCCCAGCGATAGCGGGTCGCGGGCAAAAAGGCTATGTGAACTGCGCGCGCTGTTCGGCAAGCCGTGGCTTGAGACCAAGCGGCTACGGAAGAGGAGGACGAGGAGGAGGAGGAGGAGGAGGAAGAGGAGTAGGAGGAGGAAAAGGGAGAGAGAGAGAGAGAGAAAGAGATGAGGATGTGGAGGAGGAGGAGGATAAAAAGGATGAGGAGGGCAGAGGAGATGCAGGAGGCAGAGGCGGAGAAAGGGGGCGGTGGAGGGGGGGGAAGGAAGAGCGGGGAGGAAACGAAAGTGGACCCTGAGATGAGGAAACGGCAGAGGAGGAGGAGGAGGAGGAGAGAAGATGGAGGAGAAAGGAGAGGAGGAGGAGGAGGAGGAGGCGGACGAGGAGGAGATGGAGGAGGAGGAGGAGGAGGAGGAGGAGGAGCAGGAGGAGGAGGGGGGAGAGGAGGAGATGGAGGAGGAGGAAGGAGAAGCTGGAGGACGAATCGACCAAAGAGTGGTGGAGGAGGCCCGCTCCCCGCCTCCGGGGGCGGCGCGGATCACGTCCAGGTCCTTTCGCCTGTGCCGCCCACCGCGAGCTCGGGGAAACAGGGCCGGAGATCGTCGTCCTCGTCGTCGTCGGCGTTCTCGTTTTCACGCTGTGCGTGCGTAATCCTCTGCCTCCTCTGCCTTCTCCTCCTCCTCCTCCTCCTCCTCCTCCTCCCCATCCTCCTCCCCCTCCTCCTCCCCCTCCTCCTCCTCCTCCTCCCTCCTCCTCCTCCTCCTCCTCCTCCTTCTCCCCCTCCCCCTCCCCCTCCTCCTCCTCCTCCTCCTCCTCCTCCTCCTCCTCCTCCTCCCCTCCTCCTCCTCCCCCTCCCCCTCCTCCTCCCTCCTCCTCCTCCTCCTGTTGTTGCTGCTGCTGCTGCTGTTGCCGTCGTTCACGTCGGGGGCGACGCCTCTGGCGAGCAGCACGGGGAGCGCCGCTAAAACATCTTGGGTCTGGGCTGGTCCTCGTCAGGAGTGGCACGGGGACGCATGAGTTGGGCGCCCGAGTTACCCCTGATGATTTGGGGCTCTGGACGCCCGAGTTATCCGGGGTAACTCGGGCCCGGGGTAACTCGGGTTCGGAATCCCGAAAAGCGAACCCGAGTTAGCCCTGACCCGAGTTACCCCTGATGATTCGGGGCTCTGAATGAATGCGATCAAAGCAGATCTCCGTCTTAGGCGCGCGGGGTCAACTTCGATGTCGATGTTTGCCGAGGTGGGTCTGATGTGCGTCTGCGTGGATATGAACTGGCATGTCCTGGAAGTTACTTCCATGCGGCATATTCGCGCGTACCTTCTGGAACCGTACGGGGGAACTATACGGAAATCAGCCCAAGGCCTCGCACAGAGCCCGCCGGCGTTCAGATTCTACTGATACGGGGGTTGTCGCTCTTAGCGCCGCAGTTCGCACCTTAAGATGAACATGTTCAGTGACGACGGCGAGGAAAAAACAACATCTGGATGAGATAGACCAAGGATATGTCGACCCTCGCTTGCCAGGGGGGGGGCAAGAAATGTGCGATAATTGGCCATCCCCCTCCCTCATTTCCACCTTCCCTGGGATCCAACGTCGCGTTTGATGGGGTGAGGGTGGGAGGGGGGGGGGGGGGGGCAGACCTCGTCAACGCGCTTCGGGGCACCCGCAACGGGAAGAGGGCCCCCAAACGGGCCAACAGAACGCCAAGAGGGCCCCATGACGGGCCGAAAGGGCTGCGAGACGGCCCAAGAGCGCTCCAACACGCCCAATTATATGTCATCTGTTTTGAAACATTGTAGTGTCACCGCCTTTTCGGGCTTCCGCTGCTCCAAGACGGCCCAACAAGGCCCCAACACAACCCAAGACGGCCCCAAGAGGGCATAAAGAGAGTACCGAAAAGAGGACACGAACCGGCATTTCGAGCCCTCCGCCCCAAGATGACCCCCGAGACCGCCTCCAGGCTCCCGAGAAGCCCTCCACAAGCTGCAGCCAGAGGCCCAAATGAGAAGAGGCCCCCGAGATGACCCCCATGCGCTCGAAAACCCCCTCCAACCAGACGCCATGAACATGTACACTTGTAAACATCGTGAGCCCGTTCCCTCCCGCACCCTTTCCCGCAGGAGCCAGCCCCGACCAGCTTGGAGTATGTAAAGGAGGCCGGAACGACGACCCCCGACGGACTCCCTTGACTCACAGAGGCGTCACGACAGGGGCCTGGACAAGGTCCCCAGAGCATCAAAAACCTTCCCGTCGTCCTCGTCCCCCTTCTTTCCCTCCTTCTTCTTATGTGCCCCCAGCGTTGGAGTCCACTTCATCTTCTTCCCCCTTCCCTCATTCCCTCGGGTCGGGCGACACAGGGGGTGATAGCAAAGCGGGGGCTTGAGAACCAGCTCGCGCAGCTGACTTTCCCGGCGCCTCCCGGCGCCAGGCGCCCATGCATCGAGGCATGGGCCCGGCGGCGGGGCAGAAACCAGCCGCATGCAGCAAATTTCGTAACCCCCCTTTCCCAATCCCCCCCGTTCGTCCCCCTCCTCCTCCTCCTCCTCCTCCTCCTCCTCCTCCTCCTCCTCCTCCTCCTCCTCCTCCTCCTCCTCCTCCTCCCCCCTTTTGTTCGGCCCGATTCTGAGGGGATGGCGGCCGCATGGCGTTGACCGCTTGGCTCTCTGAGAGCCCGCGGGCCTGGAGCCTGTGCCGGGTGCCGTGGCCGATCCAGGGCGCTCCAAGACGCCCAAGGGGGCGCTCCGCTGGCCATCGCTCGGACGTCCACTCCCTGTGCATTTTTCAGTTTCGTGCGTGGTTGTTTCGCCACATGATCCAGGAAGCTCCTCGATGGGCCTCGCCGAGAAAAATGTGCACACGCCCCAGCGATGCCGAGTCCGGGAGCGCTCCCGAAGGCTCTGGAACGGCCGACTTTCGTCACAGGCCCGCCCGGCGCGATCCAGCCCGAGGTGTCCGAACTTGAAGTGCTGGCGCCCGCACACCTTTGAGCTGGATGGGTGGCGCTTCCCCTTTGATGCGGGGCCATTACCACTTGCGCCACCACCCGCTCACGTTCACCCCACGGGTGAACACACGGAAAAAGGTAAAGCCAAACGAATTAGGCGCTCCTCCTCCTCCTCCTCCTCCTCCTCCTCCTCCTCCTCCTCCTCCCCTCCTTTCTGCCTTTTGGAAGCCCCCCTCTGGTGAGGGGGAGGGCCCCTCGCCGCGCCACGGCCCGGCTCGCATCGGAGCCCGCGCGCCGCCGCGGCTCGGCGCGGTCAGGGGGGGCGCTGGCCGTCGCGCCGCGGCGTCACGGCGGGGCTGTCCTCGAAGACCTCTTCGGGGGATGGGGGTGGGGGAGGCAGGGGGCGAGGGAGGGTGTCGGGGTGGGCTGCGGGAGGTTATTGTGATGATTATAGGGATAAGGATAAGGATAAGGATAATGATAAGGAGAAGGATGATGATGATGATCATGATGATGATGATGGTGGCGATGATGATGGTGGTGATGATGATGATGGTGGTGCTGATGCTGATGCTGATGCTGATGCTGATGATGTTGATGATGATGATGAGGAGGAGGAGGGGGAGGGCGATGATGATGATGATGCTCATGGTGGTGATGATGGTTGGTGAAGGGGGTGATGGTGATGATCATAGTGATGTTGTTATTAGTTGTGATGATTAAGAGGATGACGATGGTGATGGTGATGAGGATGCTGACGCTGATGCTGCATGGTGACATGTGATAGGCGAAGTCCTGGTTTGAAAAGGCCTGCGAAAGGGGCATAGCGCTACTGTACCACCCGAACAGGGCCCAGTTCGAATCACAGCGCGCTCGCCCAGACGGCGACATCTGGAGCTTGCTCCCGCCATGCCTCTCGATCTTGCGTTTTCGGCATCCTTTTTTCTACACCCTGGCCATGTGTCCACGCGCGGGCAAGTCCACATCACAGGGGCGAGTCGCCAACGCCAAAAGCATGGCCAGTCCTCGCGTTCGCCGAGGACTCGCGGGAGCAGATCGAACGCCGCCCCTTTGGGCGGCCGAGGGCAAGCACGCGCCCATTGCTGGTGCAGCAGGTCTTCTGCTGGCAGCGGGTGGACTCGGGCAGCGAGACATCTGGGACATCCTTACTTGTCTGACTCCTGATCAGATCTCCTGGTCCCTGGCTGCAGCGCTCCCGTTGCAATCCGCCCTAGCATGGCCGCGTGGACGCGCGTCTTTCTTTCTGGGTTTCCTGCGTTTCCGCTGGAATACTGCTAGGTCAGCGCCGTATTCTAGGCCATTGCCGCAGAAATGTTTCGAAGCTCGGTGTTCCAGATATGCTGCTCTAGGGGCCCCTCAAACTTCGCCGAGGCGCATTTTTGCCGCCCTGGGTCCGAACCCGAGACAGCTTCCAGGTAGGAAGGGGCTCGCTATGGCGGGGCCTCCGTGGGCGGCAGGTAGAACTCCTCTCCGTGGGGCGCTTCCCATTGCCGGGGCAGAGTTGGGGCCCAGTGATTATGGAGGAGGGTGATAATGAGTGAGCTGATTTGCCCTCTGGTCCGTCCCCAAGGGTTGGCGGCCTCGCGCGCGACGCTGACTCGCTTCCTCCAAGCGGCTGCTAGGGCGACTCTCTCGTTCATCAGCCTGGGCAGGATGTTCAGCCAAGCTTTGATCATGTCTACGCGGGCGACATAGGGCAGGCCAACTTTACGTCCAGGGTCGAGACGTAGGGCTACTGTTGTACATCCTCCAGCTCTCTGTCCCCCTGAAGCGGCGGCCATCTCAGCTCTCAACTGTTGAAGTGCAGTCGGCGAGGCCCCTTGGGCCATCATTCCCCAGGATCCTTGCGGTTCGACACCGGTGAGGCTGAGCTTGCTGGCTTGCTTGTTGGCCCGAACCAGTCGTCGCGCCCTCTTGGCCCTGGAAAAAGCTTTCTTGAGACGTGTCCTAGCCACCGCTGTGGACCGTCTCCGCGATGAGAAATCCAGTCCTAGGTCCCGCACCTTGCTAGTTATCTGCGCATGGATTCCAGCCTGTGCGAGCGCGCGGTGGACGTGCTTCACGAGGTTCCCTTGGCCCCCGAGAAGTTGGGATTTCTTGGATAACTTGATGCCCCTGGCTGTCATGGCTTCGACGGGGTCCTGGGCTCCTTCGATAGCGAGGCGTTTCACGCCCCTGGTCGAGAGGGAGAGGTCGCCCACCCATGCGCTGAGCTCCATAGGCCGACGCCGCGCATGTGCATTTGCGAGCATGTCGTGCAGGTATGTGCGTGTCCATGCGACGCTCTGCATGCACCCCTGGAGGATCGATCTCTCAACGTTGATGTCGTCGGAGGTCTCGGGGCCCACAGTGAGGACCCTGACTGCGGTGTGCACGCACATGCCCATGTACATGGTATGAATCAGGTTTCCGAGTCCTTTCCCTAGCGTTTTGATCCAGAAGAAGGGCTGAGCGTGTCGAACACATCTCAGCATCTGGCAGCAAGACGGCCCAGTCTATGGACAACCCGGAGGCGGCCTCGGCCCTGGCGATCCGAAAGAGGGCGGCTTTCAGCGGGTCGGACCCTCGAAAGGCAGCATCCGAGAACCCCGCTTTGGCTTTCTCCCACTGGACGACAGGATCTTTTCGAAGTCGGGACCAGGTGCGGTAGAGTCTTTGGGTTCTGGTGATTGGGCGGTCTCCTTCCCCCATGGGTTTGGGATGCATGCCAACTTCATTGAATAAAACCTGTTCTGGCCAGGGACACGGGCTCTCTATGTCATATATCAGGGCCGTGAGCTCGCAGTGCGCTTCCTCTGGCAGGTTCCACCAAAGCAGCGGGTCACACCGATCGGCTCCCATGCCCATTGAGTTAGGGAAAGACTTGCAGGCTGCAGCAAAATCAGAGTCGGAAAAGGGAAGCAGGTCTGGCACAGCAGCTTGAGCATCTGCTCGAAACTGTGTCCACCACTCCTGCGATGTTGGGTGTTCTAGTCCTGCGGGGTCTGTCCAGAAAGAGCTCCATCGGGTCCTTTTTGCGGCAAGAGCCCCCGAGACTCCTCCTCGTCCTCCTCCTCCTCCTCACCCCGCGTGGTTCTCAGGAGGAGGATGGGGCATGGAGACGAGAAAAGGGGGGAGGCGAAGGGGGCGGAAGGGGAGGGAGGATGAGGGGGAGGGGGAAGTGGGGCACCCTCGCAGCAGCCGTGCCCAACCGACACTGGAGGCTCGGCCGGGGCCGCCGGACTAGGCAGATGCGGCGCAGCCCAGGGGCTGGCTGCCGGCGGTTTCACCCTCCCCCCTCTCCCCCCCCATCTCCTCCTTGCGTTTCGCCACGGGGCCCGCTTGCGCTTGTAAAAAAAATACTGCGCGTTCTTGCTCCGAACGGGTGAATGTTTCCTCTGCCCGTGCCTTTTTTTTCGGCGTCTTTTTCATGGGATAATTGGGTGAGTCGCGACTGCGCGTGGTCCGCCGCCATATGTACCTCGGCCAGTCGGGCGTCGAGGGAAGCGGAATCGCAAACCGAACCCGGGGTGGCCAGCTGATCAGTTTGGGTCCGTACAGCGCGCAACTCAGACAGTGCAGTCCTTATTTCAGGTAACTGCTGCTCGACCGTGGAGACTCGGTTCTCAAGCGTTGGCACGCGTCCCTCGGAAGCGTCAACATGTCGAACGAACGCAGTATCGGAACCGCGCAGCTCGCCGCGCCATTCAAACGCGCGCGTGGCACGTCGGGAATGCACTGTGGCAGTGGGCGTCTCAACCTGGGTACGAAGTGTGACAATGTCCTCACGTAGCTGTTAACCCGTGGGTCCATGCACCTCCACAGGCGGGATCTCTCGGGCCATCAGGATCTCATCGTGTAAAGTCCTGATGGCGGCAGTCCCGTTGTCTCTGACGCACGCGAGTTGGGCCTCCATCCGCAAGAAGTAATCGTGGAACGTCTGGATTGTGGTGGAGTCAGAACTTCGGCGTGATTCCATCTGGTCAACTCTATATTGGACCTGAATGATGATCGATCGATACTCAACGACCCGAGGGTCGACCAAAACAACAGTTTGTTCAAGTTCCTGCCCGAGGGTGACCGTCTGCGCGGCCAGACCCGACATCTGTTGGGTCGTGTAAGTTTCAACGTGGTCTCGAAGTTCCGCCATGTCACTGGCGGCGAGAGAGGCACGCGACACCGTGTCGCGCAGCAGGGGGTCATGCCTGGAGCGCCTGTGGGAGGGGCTGCGGGTGGCGCCCCGCCTAGGGGAGCGAATGTGATACCGTTTTGGAGCCCGTCGCTGAAATGTCCGCCCACTACGATTCTCAATGACACGCGCATGTTCGGATGCAGACACGTTCGTGGGCGACGTGACCTTAGCCCAGCGGCGGGGGCGCGCGGAAACGGAGTCTGGAGACAAAGCCTCAGCGCCACCAGTGCGGGCGTTCCCACCGACACAACGCGCATCAGCGAAAGTTGGAGGAGGGGAGGGAGGCGTGGCGAATCCAGCCGTGACTCCGAGGACAACTGCAGGTGTTCCCACTGGCACATGATGCGCTCCCATGGACACAGCAGGCGCCGCGGGAGGCGACTGCCAAGAGCAGGCGCGAGCGAGGCGGCGCGTCCTTCCCCTGAAAAAGCCCGCGCGCCGTCGAGGACGCCGCGCGCATGGAGGCACTGCGCCCCGAGGGGGGCAGTGCCACGCGGCGGTGTCAGCGATGACGCGAGTCGCAACGGCGAAGAGCGTAAAATAATAGGCGGTCGGCCTGTGCATAGGGATACGACCGAGGAGTCGATCCTATACTTAGGTCCGTAGGCAGAGGCAAAAGAGAAAGAGGTTAGCTGCTCCTTTTTTTCCCTGGGCTCTGAGCAGAGGGCAGCGCGGTATGATGTGCATGCCAATACCTGAGCCGAAACGCTCACGGTGTATGACGATATAAGGGTAAGATGAGCGGATATCACACAGTCCCTGGCACGCTAGGGCTCTAAGGGTGCCTGGCGCGCGTGGCGCGCCTAGCACGCGTGGCGCACCTCGCCCCAACGTCGCGCACATGGGGTCGATGCTGGTTCCCAATAGCTGCCCATCCGAAAACGACCGCTGAGCATGGTGAGGCTCGGGTGTTACTTCTGTGTTGGGAGGGCGGGTGGGAGTTAGCTAGGCGGCTTGTTATCCAGGAGGGTGTCTCGAACACTGTTCTCTATGAATATACACACCCTCCCCCGGGCGACCGGCAGCCAACTACGAAAAAATACAAGTGGCACGTGTGCCATAGCCCTTGCACAAAAAGGAAGGGGGAGGAGGAGGAGGAGGAGGAGGAGGTGGAGGAGGAGGGGGGAAGAGGGGGCAAGGCATCGCCCTCTGGGCCCAGCAACGGGGCCCAAGTCCCA